CCAATTCTCATTCTTTCGAGGAATGATCAAAATCGCTTCGATTTGAATTTTTGTTGTTCAAAGAAAATGCGTACGAGCATTCTCGTAGCTTTGCTGATACCTATAAACTTCGACCCAATCATCGCTGTTATTATCGAGATTACTACGACCAATCGTAAATCTCTCGCACGACGGCTGGACGTTTCAAAAATGGCTCCTTCCGAGATTCGCGCGCACTGGGAGACTTGAAGGCATGCTAATGCACGCATACACACAAACGTACGCATATCGCTCGTATACACCATTGTTGGTACTCTCGAGCAGAGCCGTCTCGCCATATGCGGCAAGGCCGCCCGTCCGCGTAGTACTGGATCTCATAACGGGCTCCGCATACTCTCTCGCTGTTATCGCAAAAAAAAAATCCGGAAAATATGACTGATTTTCGCATCACATTCTCTTTGATCATCCTCTGTACGCAAATATTTAAACGTTTTATTTTATAATGTTATTAATCATTATGCATTAATTATTTTTCAAAAGGCATAAATACATAATAAAGAAATATATAATAAAGACAAAATTTTCATCTGAAAACTATGATTCAATAACAATATTTTAATAAACCTATTCTGTTTACACTGAAAAAAATTTTGATCATTTTTGATCCAATGAATGATTATTAATCAATACTCGAATTAATGTCCGACTTAATGTCAGTTAATTCATTGATACAATAACTGGATTCATTTATATAACTATATATTCATTTTTGCAATAAATTCTAGTAATAGTTTTATAACCTAAATCATTATGAGAATTCATTAGACCAATTTTTATTAATTCAATGATTATTTTATTGCATTTTTGGTATAGTTTTGGTTCAGTGCAGTTTTCTGTTATAATAGTGCATCATAGTGGGATGTCCTATAAATAGATTAAAAAAATAAAATGAACGCAAAAGGAGAGGAAATTAAAACAGCACACTTATTGTTCTTGTTAAGGCCTTTTATTAATCTTTTTATATAGTTTTTGGTCAATTTACAACTGTTCGTAGATAAAATAATGTAACATAGGCAACGTTGTATATAATAATAATAGCAATTAATCTTCATTATTCTCTTGGTGATAATAATCGTAATAATAATACTAATAGTAATCGTCGTCATCATCATAGCGATAGCTGCAATAATAATATTAATATTATTGAGATAATCGTCGATATTGCTTAATCGTTTATTAACGCACGGCCGTGAAATCGCTGGGGTTACAAAAGCTTAAGACTAAGGATTAACCGCGTCCGGCGCCTAAGATATTACGCGCTGTAACGAGAAAACGAGTAAAATATTTCTCTTATTACCAAATCGTTCTGGTATACTGTTATGATACTATGACTCTTAAAAAAAGCGAAACTCAGTCGAGCGCAATTATCGCGAAAATGCAGGGATCATTTTGAATAATCGCCTCGGATCGATTGTGTCGTATCGAATTATCAATGCGCGAGTACTTGAGATTTCACTACGATGCTGCATCATACAATTCTTCATATATGAATAAATATTTTCCAGTATAGATAAATATAGTATTTTTATTTGTTGTTTCACGTATTTATAGAGACAAATATAGTATTTTTATTTGTAATGTCTCATACACATTCTATCTCAAGATCGAAAAATATGGTAGATGATGGTAATATTGATTGAATTTGAACCTAAAAGAATTGGAGTTATAAGAGGAAAAGAGGATCAAGAAAAATACGATTTTTTGGAGAATAAAATTAATTATCTTATACTTACGCACGCGCATGCAATATGAATCTCTTTAGTGCTCAGCTACTTCTAACTTTCGCTGAGAATGGTGTTCGGTAATTCAGTATCTCGCATACTTAACCCTTCAATGACGGATATTCAATTCTCCGTAAAAAATTTTCATGAGATATGTATACACTAACATCAACATACTTGCATTATTATTTAAGCGACTTTTGATTTTCGTGATATAATTTCCAAAGAATTATGCCGCATACTACTAGCGTTTCACATTATAAAAAATAAAATGTTAATTTTAAAATTAAATTAATGGGAATAGCGCTACGAGCCAAGTCTTGTGATGCTATATTATTAAAAAACAAACGGTTCATTAAAACATATCATTTTTACCTCAATCGGGTCATTCTCAATGTTAAAACGATAATGCAATTTAAAATTTAAACAGAATTAACTAATCATTCTAATAATAATAAATTATAAAAACATATCACGTAATTATAAGAACAAAAATTATAAAAATATTTAATTAAATTCATTAATACATTTTTGTTCTTATAATTACATGATATCTTTATAATTTATTGTTATTACAATGATTAATCAATTCTGTTTGAATTTTAAATTGCATTATTTTAACATTGAGAATGATCCGATTGGGGCCGAAACATATGTTTTAAAAAACTGTTTGTTTTTTGTAATAATATAGCATCAAGATCTTGCTTGCTTTTTAGTCCTACTCCCATTATTTTAATTTTATAAATTATTTGAGCCTTTTTCTTATATTATTGTTAATTTTCACTTAAAGACGTATAGTGGACTTTTTGAGACAAAAATTCACTAATGTCTTTAAGTGAAAATTAACATTTTATTTTTTACAGTGCACGTATCGAAAAATCCAAATATAAAAATACGTATTTTTTTTCATAAACTAACGAGATGCAACAAATAACCCGTGTTAATCGCGACGATGAGTGTCGAAGGGTTAAGTCAGCTTAACTTAGCAGAACATATTGTACACTTAGAAAACGGAGATATGCTTCTAACAACGCATTCATATTTACAGAAGATAAAACGCCTTGTCCGCGCAGCACCGAACTTCAATCGCAGGTAAGCCCGCGGTATTTCCTCGATCATCCGTTATATGCAAGTGTGCACATTTACTAGACATTATCGTGAGCCCTTTCGAAGCGAATTAAGTGATACACACAATGGCCGTCTACAGACTAGAGATCAATTTAATTATTATAAGCCGAGTAAAAGATTTGTCGCCGAAAATTGTTTATAGATATTTACAGGCAATGTTAGTCTGCGCGTGTAGAAAACACGACATATCGTTTATACGCAAAAGACGTATACAGGAAATCACTTGAATTCCGAATAAGGCAAGACAACTCGAAGCTAATCCCTACTATATCGGGATATTTGCCTCGATTCTCGTGTATTTCCTACATAGTGTCGACTGTAAAACGTACATTTAGCAGACAATTAAAGAAGATCCGGCTTTCTTGAAAGATCCGGCGACGAAAAACAAACGGAGGAAAAATCGGCATCATTGTTCAAGTATTGGAAACGCTCCTACTCGCGACTGGCATATATGACTGTCTACTACACACGTGATAATAAAAAATATCCCCTTTTCATACTATTCGACAAAATAAACCTTTCTTTCTCCGCCTTAATCCGTTACTAATTGTAAGACACTTGGTAAAAAACTTGGCGCTACGCTTGCGTTTGGTATAAAAAACAGTTAAACACTGGAATGGCATTTGTCCGACGACATATGTTTCTATCTACATAATGCAATCTGCTCCAGATTGGGCGGACGGGGAAGGATGGAAGGGAAGGGGGGGAGAGAGGTTCATTTGATTTTTCATTCAAAGCATCTCTTAATCGATCACCTCTTCAACGTCTAATCAATTCCTTTTCTATCTCTCTCTCTCTCTCTCTCTCTCTCTCTCTCTCTCTCTCTCTCTCTCTCTTTGTTCTCTTTTCCATTCTTTTCTTCTTCTTCAGCGAAGTTGTTAACGTTTAATAAATCATCTTTGATAAATATATCCAATAAACTATATAATTCTTTAAATAAAAATGATTAGGCATTATCGAAAGAATAAAACAATTAAGGATGCAATTGTTATGGTCTTTTAGCGATCGTTCAAATTTTCCAATCATGATTCTGGAAATCGATCGTACTTATTCTTACAATTTTTGACTTGTTACATAAAGGATTGTATTATAAGATTTCAAAAAAATCATAAAAATTTTTGAAGCATATTCTCAACAATAAATTGCTTAACAATACAGTAAATTATTACCGTTTTCAAAAAATTTTATGTGATAATTCAAGAATTATTGTTTTGAGATCAGTAATCAATGTGCAGAATGCAATTAAATGATTGGAATAAATAAATTAGGAAGTCATTAACACAAGACTCGCCATAGCTAATTGCTTACTTTTGATTCCGCATTAATTAACTGAAACTACGGAACGAATTTAATATTCATTCAATTCTTTATTTCTATCTTTTTCTTTTTCATTTCATTGTCTACTGTAAACGTCGCTTTATTCTTCAGCACCATCTGAGCACCACCCTGATACGTGACTACTAAGAACTACTAACTGATTGACCCCGTACCGTTAAGGCCCGTTAAGTTACTCTCCAGTCGAACGTCTTCGATCTATGATGATAGTCATTAAAGGTGTAGGCAAAGCAAAAATAGAAAGCAATGTTCTAAACATCGAACTATTTGATTAGAACATCGGTAACTCAAATATTTAAACCTCAGAAAGGAATTTAATATTATTACAATTTTTTTAATATTGAAACTTGTGAAAGTTTAAATATTTAGGAATTTGTTGGAAACATTTTTGTCTCAAAACGTCGATTTTAATAAATTTAAATTTCAAGTTCTTGAATCAGAACTTTACAAAGTTTTACTTGTTAAATTTACAAAAGTAGTTAGAAAATAATTTTATAGATATAATTCAATTTTTGTAACCTGTACAAAGAATCATTTTAACTTTTCTGAAAGATGATAGTGTATCTTAAAATATTTTTTCTCAATCTTAAAAGCAAAAACTAAAAAACTATTAATCAAAAGTATTAATCGTACAATTTAATTCGTTTTAATATTCTTAATTACTGAGACCTTAACTAAAAAGACATTTTTATAATATGCTGTAAAAATAAATAATTTATTTTAAAAAATGATCGGCATACAATAAAATTCAGTTCTCATCGTATACATTCTCGATTATACTCATCGCTTTTACAAATCTATATCTTCTTTGAATTCTTCAAATACTTTCTTATTCAACTATAAAATATATTCCTATCCTTCTTGTGATCAAGACGTCCGACTTTATCTATCAAATCGAATTAAGAATCAAGCACGACAAGAAGCGCAATTACTTATGCGCGCGCGCCTGCCCTCATTGTCATCAACACCTACTTGATCAGTCTAACTTAGCCTAACACGCGAAGGCTACCTGATATATCTCGATCCTCGTGGCTAAAGAGAAGAACCACCCTCAAACGCTGTCTGATGCCACGGACATCGGTCTTTTGTAGGAGAGGGCACGAGGTATCGGTATCCTCGAACATCCTTCTTGGGGTTTCGGGTCCTTTCTGGGAGAAACTGATACCTGAATGTCCTGCGGTACTGTCATCATTCCGTTACCATCCATCCACACTTTGGCAAAATCCATATCCACGACATCGTCGGTCGTGCTAGTCTGGTAATCTCTCAAGAGGCCTTGTAGTTTTTGCACCATTTGTCGCTCGTCCTTCAAGTCGCCCAGTTTCTGCAGGATCTGATCGAGCAACGGATTCGTCACTTTAGTGGGTGATGATTGGAGGGAAGCAGTGCCCATAGTAGAAGTCCTGATCCTCCTGCCATTTCTATCATATTGGATACCTAAATTCGGACTTGGCCGGGATTGCAGACTCTGTCTACCCGGACTCTTTCGTGAGAAATTCGGCGTCGTGACACACGTGGCTGGTGTAGATCTCGGATCTAAGAAGGTGTCCGACTGAATACTGGCTCTTCGTTTGGTCTGTCGACCATTCCATGTGGCACTACTACCGACTGGCGCTTTGGAGGACTTGGATGCAGTTACTGGCGACACCTTACTGAGACTTCCGGTCGGCGTTGACTTTCGTAGTGTTCCGTAGCTTCCGTTGACTTTGTTGCGAATCGAACCTCCTCGGTTCAGTGGGCTACCTTCTGGACTGGAATTACTGTCTTTAGGCGTTTTACTACCGGATGATGCTTTAGATAAGTTACTGTTCTCTCGCGCAATGGAACCGGCACGAGGAGTTCTGTCGCCTGTCGATGAGGATGCCACGCTCCTGGACGGGGACGAAACTCGTAAAGGACTCATCAGCCTATCTTTTCGAACTACCTTACGCAGCCCTGTCTCGATACTATCAGTTTCCACACCAGATTTTTCCTCAGGTTCCGCTTTTGGAGGTTGCTCTGAAACAGGAAAAGAAAAGACGCGTGTTTACGCTGGAAATTCGGAGCTTACTCGCTTACTTCACAATTGATTAACTGTTTTATTATTTCGACATTGATTGCTAAGAACTCAAATAAAAACTTCGAATAGATCAAAAATTAAATGAGAAAAATGTTAGATAATTATTTTTCATATTAGAAAATAGAAAAAATATAGAATTTAATATATAAAGTTATGTTATGCAATCATTGTATAACTAACAATTTTAGCAAATATTCAAATAAATGTAGATGTAAAATAGAATTTTTAGAATCAATTTTTAAATAATATTTTCTAACAAGTTAACGTTAATATGTATTTTTGTTATTTTTATGTCATGTGCAATTTTCATAGTATTGTTATCTTCAAAACATTATTATTATTCATGAAATCATTACTAATTGTACTAACATCTACTACAATTAATGAGCTCGCCGAAGTTAAACATCTCTGAAAAAAATCTCTCTATTCCTGTTATTTAAAAACTAGAAACTAGAAATTATATAAGCAAATGTTACACAATTTTGTAATTAGCATTCGAGTCTTGTCGTTTCCGTGTAGCAGTTTATTAGTGTCATTATAGCGACATTTTCGATGCAAATCTGTGCACAACAATTGATATTCAGGAGCGAACTGAATATTTTTCATTATCGTAAGGTGTTAACTTTCACGAACACATATAGCTAGTTAGAAGTAAAAAAATATTAACGATCAATTGATCGATCTCTGTTTTTAACACAATTAATGTAGGCAAGGTAAAGGAACACAGGCCCTGACACAATTGAGTGTCGGTCCTCTCGATTTGCGTCGGCAAGAATTCATGCATCTGCGACGAAAACAAGTATAAAATCCAAGGCAAAATAAAATCTTTCATTAAAATTTCTAGGAATGATTACCATAAATTTTCTACTTCTGCTTTATATAACATGAGTTTGAATTCATAATTTTTATGTAACTCGTTATGCAAAATTTTATAATATATAGACGTTACAATTATGTTTCATTGATTTCATATAATTTAATATTATGTTATATAATAATTATTGATGATATATTTACATGTTTATTATTATTAAACTCATCAATATTGTCTCAGGATGTCTGAGATTGTATACATAAGATTATTATTATCAAGTTGAATATACGTATTTTTTATATTTTTATCTATCGCTGAAGAAATAATGATAAAAGAAACTACATTATATTTTCACAAAATTTGCACAATTTAGAATTATAAGAAATGCATATTTTTCACACAAGAAATTAAATTTATTAATTAAAACTTATTATATTTCTTGATATATTGTAAGAAAAAGTTCGTGGCGTTTTTCCCATTAGATGGCATTAAAAAAACGCCACGAACTTTTTCCCACACCTAATATTTATATAATTAAAATAGACTTTCGTGTTTCTCTCATGAGGTGATGTCACCATGCTGCATTTCGTCCTACATTTCAATTTCACACATTTTGTACTCACTCACGTTTAAACTATAGAGAAAGTCCATTCTTCGCGGAAGAAGAGAAATTAAATTTTTTCATCATATGAGAATGGCAAAATATCAATTTTGTCAGAACAAATGTACAAATAGAATAATTATAGAATCTTCTTCATTGATTCTGAAAGAAACTCCCCGAAATACGGTTCGCCGATCACGTTAAATTTAATCCGTGTTAAAAGAGTCATTTAGATTCTCGATAACGCATTGCATTTTTTAATCTGGTCAGCAAACCGACGCTAATGCAAAAACATTCACATAAATATTAACACATCCAGTTGGAGCTACAGCAGATATACATATATCCGCGCGAACGCAAATATAACTTGTAATTAAAATTCAAGAATCGAAAATCTATTTCGAGATCTCGTCCTAGTAACATGCTGGTGGTCAAACCGGATTCAACATTCATCGATCTAACGAGTCCTTGGAACTTGTTATTAAAATTACGCAAATGAATTACGAATTGAATTTGTTTTGAAGAAACCAAGAACCAGTGTTCTCTGTTAAATGCAGTTAATATTAGGTTCGATATCATGATATCTATT